AGGTCTCCACCCAGGTTCACAGGAATCTATTCAACATTGTAGGGCTTAACTTGCAGCTTCATTGCTATTTTTCCCTCACTTCCCCTTATCGGTGACAAACGTGATCACCAATCAGAGCGTGTATTCCCACTGAGTCTTTAGTCTTGGAAGGGGTGGAAAGTAAATCTTATAACTCCCCAAACTCACTGCCATCAAATTGATTCTGACTCATAGAGACCCTTTATAGGGTTTCTGACACTGTAAATCTATTTTTAGGGTAACAAGAAAGCCTCATGTTTCTCCTGAGGAGCAGCTGGGGGGTTTGAACTACTGACTGTACTATGTTGTTGTTAAGTGCCATTGAGTTGATTCTAACTCATATTGAGCCTGTATTGGGTTTCTGGTGGGTTTGGAGTTAGTAGTAGACCAGTACAGTGCTGCATCAGGACTCCAACTGTATACTGTGTTGTTGTTGCTTTCCAACTGTGCACCATCCTCACAATTGTTGGTAAGCTTGAGCCCACTGCTGCTGCCACTGCGCCAGTCCATCATTGGATGTCTTCCTCTTTCTCCCTGACCGTCTACTTTACCAAGCATGATGTCTTTTTCCAGGAACTGGTCCTTGTTGATAACATGCCTAAAGTCTGAGACACAAAGTCTCGCCATCCTGGGTTCTAAGGACCATTCTGGTTGTACTTCTTCCAACACAGACTTGTTTCTTCTTCTGGCAGTCCATTGTACTTTTAGTAGTCTTCTTCAATAACATATGATCTTTATTCATTGTCTAATTTTCACATCATATGAGGCTATTGGAAAATACCATGGCTTGGGTCAGACACACCTTAGTCCTCAAACAGCTAGTATCTTTTCTCTTGAACACTTAAGTATCTTGATGGCTTCTTGCATGAGTGTTGGTTGCGGATCCCACCAATTGAAGTGCGACCAATTCTGAAGGCTGTGGTCTTTGATCTTTATCAGTATTTAAAGTTCTCTTTGCTTTCAGCAAGAAAGGTTGTATTATCTGCATACTGCAGATTGTTAATGAGTCTTCCTCCATTATGATGCTTACATTCTTCTTCATATAACCCAGTTTTTTGGATTATTTACTCAGTGTACAGATTGAGTAAGTGTAGTGACAGAATACAACCCTAATTTTAAATCATTCATAGTTCTCTATTCTGTTCATATGGTTGCTGCTTATTCTATATACAGGTTGCTTATGAGCACAATTAAGTGTTCTGGACTTAATCGTGCTCATGCGGAACCTGTACATACCCCATTCTTCGCAATGTTATCCATAGCTTGTCATGATCCACCCAGTCAACAGCCTTAGCATACTCAATAAAACACAAGTAAGCCTCTTTTTGGTATTCTCTACTTTCAGTCAAGATCCATCTGACATTAGCAATAATACCCCTCGTTATATGGCCTCTTCTAAACCGGGCTTGAGTTTCTGACAGTTCCCTGTCAGTGTACTGTTAGAGCTGTTGTTAAAAATTATCTTCAAAATTTTACTTGTGATATTGAGTACCCATCAATTCCTAGAGCCTGGAGCCGCCTTGTGTTTTACCAGTGCCTTCAGTGTAGCTTGGTTTTCTTCCTTAGTCCCATCAGTTCTTGAACATATGCTACCTCTTGAAATGGTTGAACATCTACCATTTCTTTTTGAGTACAGTGACTCTTTGTATACCTTCCATCTTCTTTTGATGCTTTCTGTATTATTCAGTATTTTGCCCATTGTTGATGTGTTATTGAGTTGGTTCTGACTCCCAGCAACCCTGTATAAGGTTTTTCTGGAGCAGCTTGGTGGGTTTGAACCACCCAACTTTGTGGTTCAAGCAGACCTTGCAGTTCGTGCTTTATCCTACAGCATCACATAGAATTCTTCAATATTGTAAGTCCAGGCTTGATTTTTTTTCTTCACTTCTTTCAGTTTGAGGAATGCTGAGTGTGTTATTTCCTTTTGATTTCTAACTCTAGGTCTTTAATTCTTGACTTTATCTTCTCAAGCTGCCCATTGAAATTTTCTGTTCAGTTCGTACACGTACTCATGTCTTCCAGTCGCTTTAGCATCTCTATGCTGCAGAGTTAGTTTCAGTCTCTTCTGACAGCCATTTAGGTTTTTTTTTTCCCTTCGTCTTTTTTAACTATCTTTTGCTTTCTTCCTGAATGCTGTACTTGATGTCATCCCACAACAACTGATCTTTGGACATTAGTGTCTAAATGCATCAAATCTGTTCTTGAGATGATCTATAAATTCAGGAGGGATAAATTCAGGAGGGATATGTTCAAGGTCAAATCTTGGCTCTCCTGGACTTGTTTTTATTTTCCTCAGTTTCAACCTGAAATTTGGATATGAGCAATTGATGGTCTGCTCCAGTCTGTCCCTGGCCTTGTTTTGACTGATGATATTGAGCTTCTACACTGCCTTTTCCCATAAATGTAGTCAATTTGATTCTTGTGTTTCCCATGTGGCAAGGCCTTTTATGTTATTTTTTAAAAGATACTTGCAGTGAAGAAGTTGTTGGCCTTGTAAAGTTCTGTCATGTGATCTCCAGCATCATTTTTGTTATCAGAACCATATTTTTCAACTACTGATCCTACCTCTGTTTCCAACCTTCACATTCCAATCACCAGTAATTTTCAATATATCTTGATTGCATCTTTGATCAGTTTCAGACTGAAGACGTTGGTAGAATTCTTCAATTTCATCATCACTGGCTTTACTGGTTGGTGCACAGATTTTAATAGTAAGTGTCATCTTTGTTGTTGTTAAGTGCCATCGAGTCGGGTCCGACCCATAGCGACCCTGTACAGGGTTTCCGAGGGTGTAAATCTTTACGGGAGTAGAAAGCCTCATCTTTCTCCCGCGGAGCGGCTGGTAGTTTCGAACCGCTGACCTTAAGGTTCGCAGCCCGATTCGTCACCACTACGCTACCAGAGCTCCTTGTCATCTTTGTAGGCATATGGATATTATCGTCACCGACAGCACTGTACTTCAAGATAGATCTTGAAATGTTCTTTTTGATGATGAATACAACACAATGTTGAATTTGTCTTTCATAGTAAACCATATGATTGTCAGATTCAAAACGGCCAATACCAGGCCATTTCTACTCACTGCTGCCTAGGATGCAGATCTTTGTGTTTCATTTAATTTTTGTAAATTCATACTTCATACATTCCATGTTCCAATTATTATTGGAAGTTTACATTTGTTTCTCATTTTTAGTTGTGCTCCATCAACAAAGGTTCCAAAAACTTTACTTCATTTGCGTCATCACGGTCAACTCTTTTTGAAGGAGGCAGCGCTTCCCTAGTTGTAGTTTAAGTGTCTTCTGATGCTGTTTTCTGCTATTCGTTGATGTTTTCATTTTTCTAGTACTGTATCTGACAGTGTTCTGCTACTATATTCATAAATAATCTGCCTCATCTTCTTCGTCTGTGTTAGTTTGGAAGCTCAGCTGAAACCCGTCCACCATGGGTGACTGTGTTTTGATTTAAAATATAGGTGGCATAGCATCATGTCCGCCACCACAGTACGACAGTGGTGGAACCAGTTGTGCTATAGTATTTGATTTTTTTAACTGCTGCTTATTGGAAAAATTCTATAAACATTGCAGTTTAGATTTATTTAATGTCTCAAAATGCAAATTATCTAGCTTCTTTAGTTTAAAATAGTCCCCAAATTGGTGATTAGAGTGAATATATTAAAACATCCTGACATAATGCCAGGATAGAATTCTCATCTTCCACGTGGGATGAGAGTTTCTGTCGATGAAAGCTTCTGTGTTGTTCTCAAGCTGACCTGGTTTTAGTGGGGCTTCCAAATTCAGACAGACTAGAAAGAAAGGCCTGGCAATCTACTTCTGAAAGTCACCCAATGAAAATGTGTGACTATCACAGCAATGCCATCCCACTGTACAGCAGGATTGCCTCAATAGCAGCTAGTAACCATTTAATGCCACTAGCTTCTTCCATAACTAATGCCATCTGTCAATAGAAACTCTGCTCTTTGTGCTAGAGCTGTTTGTTCAGACATGCCTGGATGGCTCAGTCTTTGGAATGTTACAAGTAGATCTTTGCCTAGGTACATGTATGTTAGCCAAAATGCTGAGTGTGAAAAATGCCTTTAGGTACCTAAGCTCAGATATACAAAGGGCTCTGACAAAGATGTGCAAAAAAGTCCTAAGGTGATACCAGAAACCTATTGAATCTATTCTCCTCTTCTACTGCCTCTTTTTTTCTTTGCCAAGTTTTAAAGTCATAGAAAGTATGTATCTCTCTGAGACATTTCTTAGTGGAATATTGTGTAATAGTTAGTCATTGAATACTTGGGATTTTGAAATAAAAAACGCCATCCACAACCAAATTCCCCACAGCACCAACTTCTAAGATTTTTATGGTTTCTCATTAGTACATCAGAATCCAACTTCCAGAAGATCACAGATCAGCAGTCCTCCAGGTTGAAAGCTAGTCTTGGCAGGCTGTTCTATTTCAGTTGTGTCTGAGATAGAGAATGAGTAAGAGCAAATAAGTATACTTACCTGTAGACAGAGAAAAAGTTTTTCATCCCCCTCTACAAATTGCATTTGAAGTCATTTTTTAATGCTATTAACGATCAATTTGTTTATATGAGGAGGCTTAAACAGTTTGTGAAAAAATGGAATTAAAACTTAATGAAACTTTCCCACATTTTGAAGCCCCTTGTAGGAATTCTTATCCATAAGTGAATGGGCCCCTAGTTACATCAGAGGTATAAAACTATAGGTGAGCATCCTCTTTGTGTACAGTATTTTTTAAAAGCAGTACCTGAAGTGATGGACTGTGCCATGTGTGTTAACTGTAGCACACTGCCACTGAGTCCCTCATTTTAGTGATGGTCTGGCCCTGGAAGTGGGGATGGTGAGCAACTTGGACATCATTGTGACCCAGTTTTGCCTCAGTTGTTTCAGATGGCAGTGCCTCTGAAACATATTCCTTGTAGTAGAAGGTGAGGATCTTTGTTTCATAGAGTGGAAGCGAGGCATCACACTGAATAGTTGAGGTGAAAAAAGTGGGGGAGAGGGCAGGCAGGGAGGATGTTTCCTCTAATAACATTTCAAATCAGGAAAACAAGTGATTGATGTCTGCTACTAACTAGTATTTTCATTTTCTTCTTCAAATACTGTATCAGTGAGGTAGAGCTGTGATGTTACTTCAGGTCAGTCAGATGACTTAGTGACTTTGCTAATAAGCTCACAGGCTACTTGGTGGTTGAGTTGGGGATACACCCAGGGTTGATCCATGCTAGTGCAATGAGCCTTCATACTTTACTTAAAGTGCTTCTCCAGATGCCTTTAGAGGGCTCTGTTACCATAGAGCTGCGTTTCCACATAACATGAGGAGGTTTGGATAGTGTATAATCATGTGAACAGAGTTTACCTCAAAGCTTGACTTAGCATGGTTCTTTGGGGCCTTTGTACAACTCTCTGCCGCAGCGCTCTGTGTTCATTACAGTGCTCAGTTGTGTTGTTGCCAACTGTGTGAAATTCCTAAGACCATGAACTCACTTTTTGTAGTCATATATGCAAAATCGTGACTTTAATAATAGCTGACCAGTGCTCCTTCGAGTCCTGGTATGGCACTGTGGGTTACTGCACTGGACTGCAAAGTCAGTTTGAACTGCAAGGTCGGTGGTTCAAGCTCACCAGCTGCTCTTCGGAAACCCTATACAGGGTTGCTATGGGTCAGAACCGACTCGACGGTACTTAACAACAGTGCTCCTTACATATCCACCTTGGACTTCTATAACTTTTATTTATCAGCTGTTCCTCAGAAACCCTGTACATGGTCACTGTGAGTCAGAACCGACTCGATGGCACTTAACAAGGTCAGTTTGACCCCCAAGGTAGGTGGTTCAGACACTAACTGAAGAATGAAATAATTTCCTAATAGAAAGAAAATGGGACACAATATGTTAAGTGCCATTGAATTGGCTCCGACTCACAGCAACCCTCTCTATAGGGCTTCCAAGGAGCGGCTGGTGGGTTTGAACTGCTGACCCTGTGGTTAGCAGTTCATTCGTTACTCATCTTACAGCGCCACATCAGGATATTTTAGTAACTTAAGAAAAAAGGGTAAAATTTCAGGATGTAATCAATGTGAATAAATTGAGATTTTTTTCCTTTTCTTTCCTGTTTTAAACTAAGTTTGTGCTGTGAAATCTGGTGTAGAATTTACCCTTCCAGTCCAGTACTTCTCAGTTCCAAACTATCCACATTTCTAGCAGCAGGGCTTTTCTGATCACTTATATATGATTTAATGCATGTAAGTGCTGAGGAAACAAAAGAACTAATACGTTGGTTTTGTTTTGTTTTGAAATCTTTTTGCCAGAGAAGAGCGAAGGGCATCCTATGACTATAACCAGGATCGTACATATTATGAGAATGTCCGTACTCCAGGTACATATCCTGAGGATTCCAGACGGGACTATCCAACTCGAGGGAGAGAATTTTATTCAGAATGGGAAACTTACCAAGGAGATTACTATGAATCACGCTACTATGATGACCCTCGGGAATACAGGGATTACAGAACTGATCCATATGAACAAGATATTCGGGAATACAGTTACAGGCAAAGAGAAAGAGAGCGGGAAAGGTTTGAGTCTGACCGGGACAGAGACCATGAGAGGAGGCCAATTGAACGAAGTCAGAGTCCAGTCCACTTGCGACGTCCACAGAGTCCCGGAGCATCTCCCTCACAGTCAGAGAGGCTGCCCAGTGATTCTGAGAGGAGGATGTATAGTCAGTCCTCAGACCGCAGTGGAAGCTGTAGCTCACTGTCCCCTCCAAGATATGATAAAGTTGACAAACCTCGTCTGGAACGCTATACAAAAAATGAAAAGACAGATAAAGAACGAACTTTTGATCATCCTGAGAGAGGGGAGAGAGAGAGACGCTTAGTAAGAAAGGAAAAAGTAGAAAAGGACAAAACTGATAAGCAGAAAAGAAAAGGAAAAATTCATTCCCCTAGTTCTCAGTCTTCAGAAACAGACCAAGAAAATGAGAGAGAACTGAGCCCTGAAAAACCAAGAAGCTCTAATAAACTGAGCAGAGAGAAAGCTGACAAAGAGGGACTATCAAAAAACCGCCTCGAGCTCATGCCTTGTGTGGTTTTAACTCGGGTGAAAGAAAAAGAGGGGAAGGTTATTGACCACACTGCTTTTGAAAAGTTGAAAACCAAGCTTGATAGCGACACCGTAAAGCTGTCTGTCCTCGATTCAAAACTACAGGCTTCTCAAACTGAGCCTGTGAAGTCTGACCTGTCTAAACTGGAATCTGTTCGAATGAAAGTGCCAAAGGAAAAGGGCCTTTCGAGCCACATAGAAGTGGTAGATAAAGAAGGCAGGCTTAAGACCAGGAAGCACCTAAAACCAGAGCAGACTGCTGACGGGGTCAATACTGTGGATCTGGAGAAATTGGAAGCTAGGAAACGACGTTTTGCAGATTCAAATTTGAAAGCAGAACGGCAGAAAGCAGAAGTCAAGAAAAGCAATCTTGAGATGGAGGAGGCAAGGGTCCCTTTGAAAAAGCAGCATGACCTCTCTAGAGATGTCATTCTGCTAAGGGAAGGTGAGTTGGAAAGAAAGCCTGGGAGAAAAGAAATTCTTAAAAGAGAATCCAAGAAAACCAAACTGGATAGACTTAATACTGTTCCCAGCCCCAAAGACTGTCAGGAGCTTGCCAGTATTGCTGTTGGGGTTGGCTCAAGGCCCAACTCAGACCTACAAGCAAGGCTGGGGGAACCGGTAGGTGAATCTTTGGAAAATCAGGAAATCCAGTCCAAAAAATCCACTTCCTCAAAACCACAGCTCAAACAGCTCCAGCTATTAGATGACCAAGGAGCGGAGAGAGAGGATATTAGGAAAAACTACTGCCATCTTCGTGATGAGGCACCTGAACGTAAATCAGTCCAAGAGAAACCACACTCAGTAAATGCTGAGGAAAAACTTGGCATTGATATTGATCACACACAGAGTTACCGAAAACAAATGGAGCAGAGTCGTAGAAAACAGCAGCTGGAGATGGAAATAGCCAAGTCTGAGAAGTTTGGCAGCCCTAAAAAAGATGTAGATGAATATGAAAGGCGTAGCCTTGTTCATGAGGTGGGCAAACCCCCTCAAGATGTCACCGATGACTCTCCTCCTAGCAAAAAGAAAAGAATGGATCATGTTGATTTTGATATCTGTAGCAAAAGAGAGAGAAATTACAGAAGTTCACGCCAAATCAGTGAAGAGTCTGAAAGGACTGGTTGTTCTCCCAGCATCCGGCATGGCTCCTTCCATGAAGATGATGACCTCCTCAGCTCCCCTAGGCTAATGTCAGTAAAAGGGTCCCCTAAAGTAGATGAAAAAGGTCTCCCCTATTCTAATATAACAGTTAGGGAAGAGTCTCTAAAATTTAACCCCTATGACTCTAGCAGGAGAGAACAGATGGCAGACATGGCCAAGATCAAGCTATCTGTCTTGAATTCTGAAGATGAACTAAATCGTTGGGACTCTCAAATGAAACAAGATGTTGGTAGATTTGATGTGAGTTTCCCAAACAGCATAATTAAGAGAGACAGCCTGCGAAAGAGGTCTGTACGAGACTTGGAACCTGGTGAGGTGCCTTCTGATTCTGATGAAGACAGTGAGCATAGATCCCATTCACCCAGAGTGTCTGCATTATATGAAAGCTCCCGATTGTCTTTTTCTTTGAGGGACAGAGAAGACAGACTACGTGAGCGAGATGAAAGACTCTCCAGTTCTTTAGAAAGGAACAAATTCTATTCTTTTGCATTGGATAAGACAATCACACCAGACACTAAAGCTTTGCTTGAGCGAGCCAAGTCCCTCTCTTCATCTCGAGAAGAAAATTGGTCTTTTCTTGATTGGGACTCTCGATTTGCTAATTTTCGAAACAACAAAGATAAAGAAAAGGTGGACTCTGCTCCAAGACCTATTCCATCCTGGTACATGAAAAAGAAGAAAATTAGAACTGATTCTGAAGGGAAAATGGATGATAAGAAAGATGACCATAAAGAAGAAGAGCAAGAAAGGCAAGAATTATTTGCCTCTCGTTTTTTACACAGCTCAATCTTTGAACAAGACTCCAAGCGACTGCAGCATTTAGAGAGAAAAGATGAAGAGTCTGACTTCATTTCTGGTAGGTTCTATGGGAGGCAGACATCTGATGGAGCAAACAGCACAACTGATTTAATTCAAGAGCCAGTTGTTCTGTTTCATAGCAGATTTATGGAACTCACACGAATGCAACAGAAAGAAAAAGAAAGGGACCAAAAGCCCAAAGAGACTGAGAAACAGGAAGATCCAGAGACTCAACCCAAGACCCCAGAATCTGCTTCTGAAAATAAAGACTCAGAACTGAAAAGTTCTCCTAGTGTTGCTGTCCCAGCTATAACTCCAGACTCAGCACCATCATCCCTAGAGAAGACCACCACCGAGACAACAGGGGAGGTGTCTCCAGCAGCAGAAGATCAGGTTGTGGAGACTGGTTCCATCTCAGAAGAAGCAAAGCCTGCACCTGAACTGGCCCCTGCCCCTGTGGAACAGCCAGAACAAGTCCACTTGCCCTCAGAAGTGGACACTAGTAAGGATGCTGCTGTGACATCCTTGGTGGCGGAAGAAAGCTCATCGGTTGATCAGGTGCCTTACCTGGATGCCAAGCCTCCAACTCCTGGGGCCTCATTTTCCCAGGTGGAGATCAGTGTAGATCCAGAACCTGAAAGTACCCTGCCACTTTGTAAACCAACCCCGAAGGCTGAGGAAGCCAGTGAGCCAAAGGCTGAAAAGCTGGACTCAACTGCTGATGTTGAGCCAAATCAAAAAGCGGAAGCTGTTCCTGAGGTCCAGCCTCAAGCTTCTGAAGATTTTGAGGCAGATCCTCCAGTTGCTGCAAAGGAGAAAAGGCCCAACAAAAGTAAGCGTTCCAAGACCCCAGTCCAGGCAGCTGCAGCAAGCGCTGTAGAGAAACCTGTCACAAGGAAGAGCGAGCGGATAGACCGGGAAAAGCTCAAGAGATCCAGTTCTCCTCGGGGAGAAGCACAGAAACTGCTAGAATTGAAGATGGAAGCAGAGAAAATTACAAGGACTGCTTCTAAAACCTCTGCTGGAGATCCTGAGCACCCTGAGCCAAGTTTGCCCGTCAGCCGGACCAGGCGCCGAAATGTCAGGAGCGTGTACGCAACCATGAGTGACCATGAAAGCCGCTCTCCAGTCAAAGAACCTGTTGAGCAGCCACGACTGACCAGAAAAAGATTGGAGCGAGAGCTTCAGGAGGCTGTGGCAGTTCCTGCGACCCCACGGAGGGGGCGGCCCCCCAAAACACGCCGTCGAGCTGATGAAGATGAGGAGACTGAGGTGAAAGAACCAGCTGAAACCCTTAAACCAGCCGAAGGATGGCGATCTCCTCGCTCTCAAAAACTAGTAGCTGCTAGTGGCCCACAAGGGAAGGGAAAAGGAAAAACTGAACCAAAACTTGATGCCGAACGTCCTGAGGCTGCCACTGAGGTGGGTTCTCAAATAAACATGAAAGAAAATAACACAAAACCCAGACCTGATGATGAAGCAGGAAGTGAACAGAAACAGGATAGAAAAGAAGTTGGCACAGATAAAAACCCACCTGAAACTCCCCCAATTGAAGTGGTAGAGAAAAAAATAGTCCCCGAAAAAACCTCCAAATCAAAGAGGGGAAGGTCGCGAAACTCGAGGTCAGCAGTGGACAGATCTGCAAACCTGAAGAATGTGGATGCTAACACAGGTGCCAGTGTGGCTGCTGGGCTGGCAGGAGAGTTGGACACAGGGGTTACACCAGTCTCCCCTGAGAAAAGCGAGAGTCCCCAGAAGGAGGGTAGCTCGGTGTCCCCAGTGAAAGGTGATCCTGTTGATACAGATAAGGAACCAGAAAAGGAAAATGTGACTGATGCTAAGCTTAGCACAGAAGCAGTGCAGTTGGCCAAGCAGATGGAGCTGGAACAGGCTGTGGAGAACATTGCAAAGCTCACAGAAACCACAGCCTCCTCAGCCTACAAGGCTGCAGATGCACCCAAGAGCCCCACCACAGAGGATAGGGACAAGCCTGCTCATCAGGCGAGTGAAACAGAACTTGCTGCAGCCATTGGCTCCATCATCAATGACTTTTCTGGGGAGCCAGAAAACTTCACAGCACCTCCCATGTACCCTTCAGAATCTCAAGCAGATACCCAGCCCCATCCTCAGGGGCTGCCACCTCCTGAGCAAGCAATGGAGCCGGAGACAGATGAGGCTGTGTCTGGCATCTTGGAGACTGAAGCTGCTACAGAATCTTCTGGACCACCCGCCAGTGCTCCTGACGCTTCTGTAGGCCCAGCAGACACCAAGGAAACCAGAGGAAGTGGCAGTGAACCCTCTGATTCGGTGAAAGAAGCCAGAGGGTCCAAAGAAGCAGACGTTCCTCGGAAAGACAAGGGGCGCCAGAAGACAACCCGATCACGCCGCAAACGGAATACAAACAAGAAAGCAGGGGCCGTGGCAGAGCCCCAGGCTCCTGATTGTGATCAAATTCAGAGCAAGAGTCCAGCTGCAAACGAGGAGCCTACGGTACCAACCCCAGAAACTCCACAGCAAGAAAAACCAAGTGAAAAGCCCCATTCCACTCCTCCTGAATCCTGTGCTTCTGACCTGAGCAAGACTCAACCCCAGGACAATGTATCCCAGGAGAGCAGTGTTGAAGAAAGGACACCAACCAAAGGGTGTGCACCTCTGGACCTCCCCTCCCCCTCACAACTGCCACTGGGGGAGGATGACCACCAAGCCAGATTTAAGGTACATTCAATTATTGAAAGTGACCCTGTAACTCCACCCAGTGACTCCAGCATTCCTACCCCCACAATTCCTTCTGTGACTGTAGCCAAGCTCCCAGCCCCTGTCACCTCTGGTGGGATCCCACATCAGAGTTCTCCTCCTAAGGTGAGGCAGGAGGAGCCCCGGACTCCATCCACACCGTCTCCAGCTCCTCCCCCAGACACAAAAGCGTCTGACATAGATACCAGCTCCAGCACGCTGAGGAAGATCCTCATGGACCCCAAATACGTGTCGGCCACAGGTATCACTTCCACAAGTGTCACCGCCTCTATTGCAGAGCCTGTCAGCACCGCCCCCAGCCTACATGAGGCATCGCCCCCGCCAGTTGAACCTAAAAAGACTCTTTTCGAAGAAAAACCAGCAGCTCTAGTAGCCAGTACTTCAGACACACAAGCCGTAGAAGTCCCAGTAGCCACTGACAAAGAAAAGCCAGCTCCAGTGATTGCTCCCAAGATTACATCTGTCATTAGCCGGATGCCTGTCAGCATTGATCTGGAAAATTCACAGAAGATAACTCTGGCAAAACCTGCTCCTCAAACCCTGACCGGCCTGGTGAGTGCCCTGACGGGCCTGGTGAATGTCTCACTGGTCCCAGTGAATGCCCTCACTGGCCCGGTCAGTGCTCTGAAAGGGCCTGTGAAGGGTTCAGTGACCACCCTGAAGGGCCTGGTGAACACTCCTGCTGGTCCTGTGAATGTCCTCAAGGGGCCAGTGAATGTTCTCACCGCTCCCGTGAGTGTACTCACGGCTCCAGTGAGCGCCACGTCAGGGGCAGCGAATGCCACCACGGGCACCATGAACGCCGCCACAGGGGCAGTGACTGCAGCATCTGGCACTGTGACTGCCACAACAGGTGCAGTGGGCATGGCAGCAGGGGCGGTGATTGCACCGTCGGCAAAATGCAAGCAGAGATCAAGCACTAATGAAAACAGCCGTTTTCACCCAGGCTCAATGTCTGTAATCGATGATCGTCCGGCTGACGCAGGCTCTGGTGCTGGGCTACGTGTGAACACCTCAGAGGGAGTTGTACTTCTGAGCTATTCAGGCCAGAAGACTGAAGGCCCACAACGGATCAGTGCCAAGATTAGTCAGATTCCCCCAGCGAGTGCGATGGACATTGAATTTCAACAGTCTGTGTCCAAGTCGCAGGTGAAACCTGATTCTGTCACACCGTCTCAGGCTCCGCCCAAGGGCCCTCAAGCACCTTCAGGCTTTGCGAATGTGGCCACCCACTCTACTCTGGTCCTGACGGCCCAAACTTACAACGCATCTCCTGTGATTTCATCCGTTAAGGCCGATCGGCCATCCTTGGAGAAGCCTGAGCCCATTCACCTCTCAGTGTCTACACCTGTCACTCAAGGTGGCACAGTGAAGGTGCTTACCCAGGGCATAAACACACCCCCAGTGCTGGTTCACAACCAGCTGGTCCTCACGCCCAGCATAGTCACCACTAATAAAAAGCTTGCTGACCCTGTGACCCTAAAAATAGAGACAAAGGTCCTTCAGCCGGCTAGCCTGGGGTCCACACTCACTCCCCATCACCCTCCTGCTCTGCCCAGCAAACTGCCTGCAGACGTGAACCACATAAACTCAGGGCCCAGTACCCCAACAGACCGAACGGTCTCCCATCTGGCAGTCACAAAGTCTGACGCACATCCTCCTCGACCAAGTGGGCCTACTTCATCCCCGTTCCCCAGGGCTTGTCACCCCAGCAGTACCACGTCCACCGCCCTCTCCACCAATGCTACCGTCATGCTGGCAGCGGGCATCCCTGTGCCGCAGTTCATCTCCAGCATACACCCTGAGCAGTCTGTCATCATGCCTCCCCACAGCATCACCCAGACTGTGTCCCTTAGCCACCTGTCACAGGGTGAGGTGAGAATGAACACGCCCACTCTGCCCAGCATCACCTACAGCATTCGGCCAGAGACGCTCCACTCTCCCCGGGCGCCCCTGCAGCCCCAGCAGATAGAGGTCAGGGCCCCACAGCGAGCGGGCACACCCCAGCCAGCCCCTGCAACTGTGCCAGCTCTGGCCTCGCAACACCCCCCCGAGGAGGAAGTGCACTATCACCTCCCTGTTGCTCGTGCTGCGGCGCCAGTGCAATCAGAGGTTCTGGTCATGCAGTCTGAGTACCGGCTGCACCCGTACACGGTACCCCGCGACGTAAGGATCATGGTGCATCCACATGTGACGGCGGTCAGCGAGCAGCCCAGGGCTGCAGAGGGTGTAGGGAAGGTGCCACCAGCCAGCAAGGGCACTCAACAGCCAGGGAAGGAAGCTGCCAAGACAACCGATGCCAAAGCAGCCCCTGCCCCCCACAGCGAAGCCCGCATCCTCACAGTCACCCCCAGCAACCAGCTCCAAGGGCTGCCGCTGAGCCCTCCTGTGGTGGTGACCCATGGGGTGCAGATTGTGCACTCCAGTGGGGAGCTGTTCCAGGAGTACCGGTACGGTGACATCCGGGCCTACCATACGCCTGCTCAGCTCGCTCACACTCAGTTTCCTGCTGCCTCCACTATCGGCCCACCTACCCGGACCAAGACCCCTGCTCAGGTGAGAAAGCCAGCTTCCCATCATCTGTTAGACTGGCGGGGGCGGGGGGCCCGGAATGAGGGGGCTTGGAGCAGCAGTATGTTAGGAAATCAGCCTTTAGTCTAACGGGTGGTTGGGGTGATACTCCCTGAAGCTTGGTGAACTTTACAACTTCCTGGTTGTAAAGTTGAAAAGGCACATCCCTGCTGAGTGTTTAGGACCCAGGGAAGGAGCTCTTTGAGAATAGTTGAAGTAGGTGGATTCTGCCTGTAGGGGTGGGAAGGGACTAGGTGGCATGTCTGTCCTGAGACCCTGAGAGCATTGCCTATACAAGACCTCCCTCCATCTTACAGCATCTCTCCCTGGTGGCAGGGTCTTTGTGCTGACTGTCCTTTTGTCTTCCTTCCTGACTCCCAGGGTCCTCCACCTGATGGAGAGCCCTTGCAGCCCACTCAGCCCACCCCATCGTCCACACAGCCTCCTCAGCCTGCCCCAGCCACACCATCTGCCCAGCCCGTGCAGCCACTGAGCAGCAAAATGCCTCAGGTCTCCCAGGAAGCAAAGGGGACCCAGACAGGAGTTGTTGAGCAGCCTCGTCTCCCAACTGTACCAGCAAACAGGCCACCCGAACCTCTTGCCCAGGTTCAGAGGACGCCCCCAATGGAAGCAGTCCAGACATCCCACCCTTCTCCAGTGTCTGTCTCCATGAAGCCTGACCTTCCAGCCCCGCCCCCTGCTCAGGCTGCTCCAAAGCAGCCACTGTTTGTCCCTACGACCTCTGGCCCCAGTACCCCACCAGGACTGGCTCTGCCACATCCAGAAGCCCAGCCCACCCCCACACAAGATTCCTCTCCACACCTGACTTCCCAGAGACCTGTGGACATGGTCCAGCTTCTCAAGGTAAATGTTTTTTGCTGTGACTATGTCCTAAGATGCTGCTATTGACTTGGGCTGTGTGCTCACATCCAGTTTGTTTCCTTTGAACAGAAATACCCCATCGTGTGGCAGGGCCTTTTGGCTCTCAAAAACGACACAGCTGCTGTGCAGCTCCACTTTGTCTCTGGCAACAATGTCCTGGCCCATCGCTCACTCCCTCTCTCGGAAGGGGGACCCCCCCTGAGGATTGCCCAGAGGATGCGGCTAGAGGCCTCTCAACTGGAAGGGGTTGCCCGGAGGATGACGGTAAGCTATGACCCTAGGTGCCTACACACGTACATATACATACATACCCCCAGAGACACAAGGTAGGGGGCTCCTGGCAGGTCATGGAGGTGGTGGTAATGGGAGAACAGAGAAGGGCATGTTCTGTCTTCTGTCAGGAGCTGTCAATGGTCTCTCATTCAGAGTGATCCCAAGTTACTCTCTGTAGAGCTTCCAAGGTTGTAAACCTTTATGGGAGCAGACTTCCACAAAGCAGCTGGTAGGTTTGAACTGCCCGGCTCTTGGTTAGAAGCTGAGTGCTTAATCATTGGGACTCCCACTCAACAATGGTAGGTTTTTTGTTTTTCAAGGGGGTTGGGGCTAGATTTGAAGTCATCCTTACAGTGAAGTGGGTCAGGCTTCCATGCATGGGCCTTGATACTGATGATGCCTTCTGCCCAGGTGGAGACAGATTACTGCCTGCTGCTGGCTCTGCCCTGTGGCCGTGACCAAGAGGATGTTGTGGACCAGACCGAGTCCCTGAAGGCCGCCTTCATCACCTACCTGCAGGCCAAGCAGGCGGCGGGGATCATCAACGTCCCTAACCCTGGCTCTAACCAGGTCAGTATGGTTCCTCCCTCTGCTTGTGCCCACATACAATGGGGGGGTGGGTGGGAAACCGACTGCTACTTTCTCTCTGTACTGGGCCCCTTGAAGGACAAAGGTAGGATAGCACCTTTGTGTGTATGGGGGTGGGGGTGATATGAAGACAAGACCACTCTATTTGTCTCTCTCCTTCTCCAGCCCGCCTATGTGCTGCAGATCTTCCCGCCCTGTGAGTTCTCTGAGAGTCACCTGTCTCGTCTGGCCCCTGACCTCCTTGCCAGCATCTCCAACATTTCTCCTCACCTCATGATTGTCATTGCTTCCGTCGTGTGAGCCACTGAATGGTCACCACCTCGGTGTCGTTTCCCGAGGTGCTGCAGCAAAAAATAAACACAGGATAACTCAGCCTAGTGGAGAAGTGGCTGCCGAAGGGGACAAACTCCACTGCCCGATGGCCAGCCTCCCGCCCTCCTGCCTGGCTCCCGTCCGCCAGACCTCTGGGCAGCGGTGCTGCTATCTTGTATGTTTACACGATGCTTTAGCCCAAGGACAGACCACCAATGGATGGACCTGCAGACACCTTGGGGCTGGGGAACAGGGCAGTGGAATTAGGGGTTTTTTTGTTTTGTTTTAAGAAACAAGAAAATGGAACTGCCTTTGCACTAAATTAGTGACTTAGACTCCTGGACCTTTGCACAGTGAAGACCGGCTGTGACACTCTGGATGTTTGGTGTGCATGAACACACATCGCAGACTCATGCAGGGCTTCAAACTTCTGCTGGAACCTTGGGGTCAAGGAACATTTCATTGGGTTTTCTGGTCCCTGCTCCCTCCCATGCTCATTTGGATGTCACCTTTCTTAATTCTCTACGACCACCATCTCTGATTCACTTGGATGTACAGTTTACACTTGAAAAGAGCAAACAGAAGGATAGCTTAACTTTCTCTTGGTGGGATGTGCAGAACTTGGGGTGTGTGTGTATATATAAATATATAATATATATAAATATATATAATACTGACTTAAAAAAATCAGATTTCCCCAACATACATTTTTTTTAATCTGTGCCAAAAATGTGTTTTCAGAGAAAATCTTATTTTCATACTCAGACTTTGTATTGTCACTCATTTGTATAAGTGCGCTTCGTGCCAGCACGGGCCCGCCCTGCGATGTGGAAGTGTCGCCCAGCACCTGTAAAACGACTGGCTGATCTCCTCTCCCTTGTCCCGGATGACTGAACCCCCCACCCCAACCCAGCCTCACCCCACTTCCTAACACTTATTAATTTATGAAACTGGTTTTCTCAGCGCAGTTTTGTTTTGTGTGTCCATTGGATTACAAACTTTATTAAAAAATACAAAACATCAAGTGTGAATGTGATTGTCACTTGGGTGAGAGGACTGTGGGGCCTTGACTTGTGGGACAGCTAGTCCTCATCCCTGTCTCTCTCCCACATCTGCCATTTATTTCATCAGTCTTCCCTGAGCATCAGTTTGATCTTACACAAGGACATTTTCCACCAACAATGCAGACTATAAACTTTTTTTTTTTTTTTTTTTTTAGTGTTGTGGTGTGAATGATGTGTGATCTTAGCAAATGCTGAAGGCACTTTAAACTCATTACATCTAGTGCAAGCTTTGGTTTGTCTCTTGCCCTTCCCTTCTCCCCAAGCAGTGGGCAGGAGGACATGGGCGAGACTTCCCTTCAGCCTGAGCAAGCTGGGAAGGTGGGTGGGTAGAAAACCTGGGCACTACAAAGAGGTCTCATAGTTATCCAATGGGGCTCCCACGAATAGATGCACTTTTGGCCTGGGGGAGGGGGTGAGGATAAAAGAGGGGCAGCCCTACTGGCCAGTCCTAGGAGCCATGCTATGGTCCCTGCCTCCCCTTAGAGCTCTGAACTGGAGACACCACTGACTGAAGGCAAGTAAATGCTTCCAAAGGTTTGCATTGACTTGCTCTTCATGCCCAGGACAGCCTTACAGAAGCATAGCAGCCCTTCTACTTCCCAAGCCCAAGAGCCTAGGGGCCTTGCTCTGCCCCCTTCTGAGTGTGGCACAAGTGGCCTTGGGGCTGGGCTCGTTCTGGGTTGCCTGGGTCCTCTCAAGCTTTGTCCGCCAGCTTTCCAGCCCCTCTGGGCTGACGTGGGGCGAGGTACTAAAACTGGTGAAACATCTCAGGGCACGTAGAGCCTTGGTCTCTCTCGCTCCCAAGGTGCAACACCCAAACTCAGCAGAGCAGTCAGCTGGATTCTAGACAGGCCTGCAGAGGAAGAAGAGCATGCCTGCCCCAAGAAGCAGATCTACTGGCTGGTCCCTGAGGGGCATCAGCTAGAGCTGCCAGCTCCCCCACCACCACCACCACCCACAGGGAGCTCTAGGCAGCATTAGAAAATAATCACATTTATTCTCTAGGGAGTAGGGCCACCCCCTCAGTTCTGGAGTGCCATCCGTATTTAAATAGTCAGTCAGAAGGAGGGGCTCACTCAGCTGGTGGTGGACATTCGGGGGCTGTGGACGGGGTCTCTGACAGGGCAGGCGGGCCCTCAGCCCCATCCCGAGGGCGGAAGAGTAGCTCCCCTGCCTGCAGCACCTGCCCTGCCGGCCATGTGCTGCCTGGGCCGTACTGCTGGTAGAAGTCCGTGTCTGCCTGGAACATGACCAGGGCCTGGGCTGTGTGGATCCGTACATGCTGGGCCAAGCTGTTGGCGTCGAGGAACTTCTCCCCACAGGAGTCACAGGCGTAGAGAATCTGGGTGTTGGGGTCTGTGGGAGGTGGGGGCTACAGTCAGACGGGGAAGCCCCTGGGCCCCACCAGCTCGCACACCTCGCCCAGGCTGTCCCTCTCACCTGCCTCCTGAACTTGCTTCACAGCTTTGGTGATCTCGGCTTTCAGGGCTTCCGTCTCGTCAGCTGTCACTGCAGCCCCTACCGGTACCACTACAGGCAGAGTTGACAGGGCCTAAAGCCAGAGCCCCCCACCCCACCCAGGGGCCAGTGACCTGTGTTCATCCTTCACCGCCCCCAGCCTGCACCGCACCTGTGAGCTGAGTGACGGCCGTTGCTGCCAGCGCCTCGGTGGCCAGTGTGACCATGTCATCAACCGTGACCACGCTGACCTCGCCACCATCCTCTGGCTCCAGGATTTTGATGCCTGCTTTGCCCTGGTGCACGGTCTTCACGTGGGAACGCAGGTTGTCCACCCGGTTGAAGCCACGACCACACTTGTCACAGAGATAAGGCTTTTCCCCTGATAAGAAAGCAAGCTGGTTTGGCCGTTTGGAGTCTGGGACCCAGGGATAGAGTGTGCAGGTCCTCAGCATCCCCAGCAACTCTGCCTGTCCCAGAAGGAAACAGTGCAGGGGCGGCCTCCAGGGACACCTCCCCAGTCCTCATGAGAACTCAACTGCCTTCAGTGCCACCTACAACCAGAGCCAGCAGCCCAGGCAGGGACCTGAGGGGACTCCTCTCCCCTGAGCTGGGAATCTGCTCACCAGTGTGGATGATGATGTGCTTGGACAGGTCCCCGACATTAACGAAGGCTTTGCTGCAAACACTGCACTTGTGGGGACGGATGTTGTCGTGGTGGCGAATGTGATTGGCCAGCTGGCTGGACTGGACAAATCTGCAGGGTGGGAGAGAGTGGGACTCGCATTGAACTGCTTGTGATGGTACCCAGAACAAGAGTTGCTGAGCTCGTCTTCCAGGATGGAAAGGGCCCCCCAGACCTAAGTGTGGTGCTTGGGCAGCAGTCTGCCAGCTCCCCACCAAGCCCTCAGCTGTCTCCGACCCCCTTCACAGGGCAGGGTGGGGGCAGGACCTCTTCCCGCAGCGTTCGCAGACGTAGGGCTTCTCGCCAGTGTGCTGGCGCACGTGGGCAATGAGGGAGCTGGCCTGGGTGAAAGCTTTGCCGCACATCACACACTGGCATGGCTTCTCGCCTGGGGACATGGGCAGGAGAAGGTGTTGGCCCATGCTCCTTGTCCCCTGCATGCCCAGCCTAGTCCACCACCAGGCTCGCTCACCCACCCGTGTGGATCCGGACATGTCGCTGCAGTGCTCCTGGGTCTGCAAACTGCCGCTGGCAGTGGATACAGACATAGGGTTTCTCCCCACTGTGGATCCGAAGGTGCCGCTTGAGGTTCCCTGTGTGAGACACGGCAAGGTCCTATATGGGGAACCCTGAGGGCTGGGAGGGAGGCGGGCAGCCAGGCAGCCCTGGACCTACCTGAGGTGGTGAACTGCTTCCCACACTCTCGGCATTTGAGGGGCCCATCCGCGATGTGGATCTTCAGGTGAGCCTTCAGATTCCCCACCTGTGCTAAGACAGCGCTTGGCTTCAGGCCCCTCTTCAGCCCCACCCACCAGCCAACAATCAATGCCCAGTCCTCCCAGGGGCCTGTGCATGGCTCTCTCATCTTGAGACCTGCAGAATGTTCCAGGCTCCCACAGAGACTATAAAACCAGCCTCCTTCCAGTTCTTTCTGGCTTAGCTGCACCCTGACTCAATCTGGCCTCCTGGCTCCCTCAGCACCATGGCCCTGGCCCAAATGCCTCCTGGAGCCTCAGTGCCCCTCCCTGTGTGGAGAGGACCCCAGACCTGGTTGAACTTCTTGTCACAGTGCGGGCATTTGTGTTCCTTGTCGGTGTCGTGGGTCTCCAGGTGGCGCATCTTGGAGGTGGGGTCAGAGAAAGAACGGCCACAGTAGTCACACTGGTAGGGCTTCTCGCCGCTGTGCACCAGCTGGTGGCGCTTGAGGTTGCCGGAGGTGGTAAAGAGCTTGCCGCAGTCCTCGCAGCGGTAGCGGGCCTCGCCTGAGTGCCGCTTCTTGTGCAGGTTCAGCAGGCTGATGAGCCGGTAGCTCTTGCCACACTCCTCACAGCCGTATGGCTTCAGGGGGCTGCATGGGCAGAAGGTGGAGAGAGAGGGGAGTCACTGGGTCTCAGACCCAGGGAGCAGCGGGGGAAGGCACCAGGCAGCAGGCTGTGTGCTGTACCTGTGCGTCTTCTCGTGGGCCTTGCATGCGGCTGGGTCGGAGAAAGCCTTGCTGCACTCCTGGCACGAGAAGGGCTTCTCGCCCGTGTGGATGCGGATGTGCCGCTTGAAGTTCCCCGTGTGCGTGAACTCCTTCCCGCAGTCCTACAGGGCGCAGCAGGAAGGGGCGTGAGGGGACTGCTGGTGGAAGACAGGGACAGGGAAGGCCAGCAGCACACCGCACCTCACACTTGTGGATGACGGAGCCGTAGGCCTTAGACTCGGTGCGGTCGCCGTAGGTGCCTGAGCGTAGGCTCCGGGCCTCCACGCTGAGCTCCTGGCCTGAGTCCGTGCCCCCTGACTCCTCATGATCCTCGCCATTCTCCAGCTGGGCTCCCTCTTCCTTGACTGCAGCTGACCCGGCGCCCTCTGTCTCTGGCTCATCTTCGCCTTTCCTGGCTGGTTCCACCTCTACAGAGAGCAGGGCTCTAGGAGCCGGGGCCACAGGGCTGCAGGGAGCTCGGAGCTCAGCCCCAGACCAGCGCCAGGCCAGGACTAGAAGGACAAATAAATGTTCCTGCACTTGCCAGGGAGGCCAGAAGAATCTGGTGGCAGCTGGATACATGTTCCCTGGGGCCTTGGTCCATGGGGGTGGGGGTGGGGGGTGGGTGCTCAGAGCTTGGACGCATCAGCAGCTCTTTTGTGCTAAAGGGGACCAAGGGCCAAACTATACAACCAAGAATTGATCTCAAAAAACGAGCAAAGGAGCTCTATTCTGTCTAAATGCTACTATGAGGGGGCTCGGAGTGGGATTGGCTGGGACGGAGAGGGAGTGGGGTGTGGTCTGGAAAGTACCTTGCTCAGAGCTCTCCGACAGGGCGGGTTCAGCCTCGGCAGCAGCCATGCCACTAGTGGGGTCTGGCTTGAGTTCCACAGACGGTGGCTCCCGGGGGGCATCTGCCTTCTCTGTCTGCTCTGCCCCTGGGATGGGAGAGGGCAGACAGGTGGGGTTGGGACCCTCTGTGGTAGAAGGTGGGGAGCTACAAGTCAGCTAGTGGTGTCCCTGACTAGAACAGACACACCAGAACCAACACCAGAGCCTTTCCGGGTTACCTGAGCTCAAGAAAATATGTTCAAACCCACCAGCCGCTTCTCTAAAACCCTACACTAGGTCGCTATGAGCTGGAACTTAACAATAACAATTAACATGACCCTACATCTCAGCCCCCAGGACCTTCCTGGGGAAGCCCCTCAGCTCCCTCTGCCAGAGCCCCCGGCTGCTGGGAGGAGCAGGCGGTCAGTCAGGCCTTCAGCATCACCACTCACCACTGGCCGCACTCACGGCCTGACCACCTCGCTCCTCCTTGGGTTCTCTGCCCGAGCCTGCTGATGGGCTGCTTCCCGCTTGCTCCAGCACACTCAGCTTGGTGGCAGCAGCCTTCTCCTCCTTGGCTCTCTTGTCCCCTCCTGGAGATGGAACAGGATAGACCTGCCATTTCCCATCAAGTGCCCATCAGAGAGTGCTGACTCTTCCAGGCCCTGCCCCTGGGGAGACACTGAACCAGCTGGGCACTGGGAGTACATCATGGAGCACTGGTAGGCCTCTGACACGAGATGCTGCCATGTTTCTCTGGGAGTCACAGCCCAGGAATCTACCTGAGGAGATGACAGAGCAGCAGGGAGGGTTCAGGGAGGAGAGAGCTCCAGGAGGTACAAACACTAGGTGTGAGAGCTAACTCCCAGGGCACAGAGGAAACCGGTGAAAGGCGGAAGGGGCAGGTAAAAGGAACCCTGAGCTGTACTGTGGCCAGATGGGAAACAGATCCAGACGGGGGCCATCAAGAGGCAGAGGCAGAACCCTATTAAAGGCCGAGGTCTCCAGCCATTAGCTCAGTAGCAGCCAGCCAACCTATCATCTTACCTTCCGTGGTCACGGCCATCATGTTTTCCCCAGGACTGGCGGCTGGCTCAGCGAGGGACTTGAGGGTGTGGCAGGCTGTGATAATGTCCTGCATTTGGAGGAAGCTGGCCACAGCCAGCACATCATCCACGTTCTCGGGGCTCAGGCTCAGCTTGGCTGTGTACATGAACTCCAACACCTGGCCCAGGCCTGCCAATGACACAGCCGGCCATTACAGACCTGCTCGGCTGGCCACCATTCTCCTAATCCTGTGCTGGGGCTCTCAGCCCAATGACTGAAAGGACCCCGTACCCAACCACAGCCACATCACAACCTCGGACTCTCTACCCCAAGTGTATGCTCTACAACTCTCTTACCAGGTGACTCACCTGACCTCTTTGGTCCTCAGTTTCTGTATCTATAAAATGGGGCCATCTCCCCTTGCCCTGACCATCTCATGACATGTCACACCATTCTGAGCTGTTGTTAAACGCCTAGAAGTCAGTTTTGATTCACAGTGAGCCTATACAGGGTTTCTGAGGAGCAGCTGGTGGGTCTGAATCACTGACCATGTGGTCAGTGCTTATCCTACAGCACCACACCAGGGCTCTTAAGTTGGGCAGCTGAAACCCAAGACTGGCTCCTTCCTAATTTACCAGGCCTAACTGACACCATCACTCACACACATGTGCATGCACACAGGCTGACCCTGGTCAGCGCCACCATCACCCCATTACCCCTGGTTAGCACTGGGGAAGGGGGCTTAGGACTAACTCAGTCAAGGGAGTTTGTTCGAAGTCTACTCTACTCTGGAGTTCTACCCTTACAGCCTCCACCCGTCAAAACAAGATCCAAAAAGGTGGTGGCAGTTTAGTACCCCATGGATCTTGGCCTGAGGCCTGATCCCTCCCAGATCTTGACACAGGAGCCATGTCCGGAGGGTCTTGCATGGCCCCAGGACCCAGCCACAGCCTCCGGCCTCAGCAAGAAGGCCCTGGGCCCACCCGGGGTACCTGCCGCGTTACTGATGTCCAGGTGCACCACATCCTTCTGGTCCACAAAGAGCATCTTGAAGTACTCGCTGCAGGCAGCCAGCACCGCTTTATGGGCCTTAAAGTCAACGCCGTCCACCACGAAGGTGCAGTCACATAGGAGCCCCAACTGCCGTTGCTGGTTCAGCTGCTCCAGGACGTGCTGGCTATGCTGGGGGAAATCCATGGCTGGGGAAGCCAGAGAGCTGCATGTTAGCCGAGAGGAGGGGTGCCAGCCAGCCTCACCAGTCAGCCTCGGGCTTCCCAGAGGAAGGAATGCGCAGGAGATGGGAGAATTCAATCAAGGGTTTCACTGGGCAGGAAAATTCTCAAAATGTTAGGAGGGGCCAACACCAAACAGTCGCCTTTGTGTCTTGCCAGGTAATGAGATTGAAAAGTCAAAACACAACCAGACACACATGGTCAATTTACTATTTTAAAAAAAGAAAAAATTGTACACAGGGCATAATCTTAAAACAAAGAACACATTTGGCTTATGAAAACTCATGTTTTCTTATGCTTCTCACTTGATTGTGGACAGGTGGGAGAGAGGAGGTTTAGGAAGACATCAGGGCAGTTTCCCTCACCTGGGTCCCTCTCCCACAATGTCTCCAAAGCTCTATGGCCTAGGCCCTCTGGCAGACCACCTGCTCTCCCCTAGCTGAATCATGGGCTCAGAGAACCACAACAGAAAACTGGGGAGTCTGCTCTGACCACAGTCCCAGGAGAAACAAAGAACTCTGGCCCTGACCCCAAGAGCTGCTGGCCCTGCTGCAGTTTCTCAGTCCAGACCCCATATCATATGGTCTGGAGTGAAAATGCTCCAGAAGATTCCTGGGTGTCCTCCAACAGCCCTGGCTAAAAAAGTCACAGCGCTCCTGCCCCCACCCCAGAACAGTCCTTCTAGGGAAAATAAGCAAGTCTTTCTAGAAAGAACCAATTTCAGGATAAAAATCAGCCCCATTCTCCAAGGCCACATTACATGGGTTCCACATGGCCCAGGACTGGTTTCTCTTCCAGAGAGAGTCTCTGAAAGCCAGTCAGCCTCTTTCCAGAGGCCGGATCTGCTGAGTCCCCTAAGCTGCTTCCGGGCAGAGTGGGACACTTGGGAGCTCCCAGCTCCCAATGCAGCAGTTCCCCGAGACTCTGGCCATTTCCCCCTGTTACATCAGCCTCAGAGGGGTGAGTCACCCCTCTGCACACGGTGACCATGTATGGGTGTCTGGCTGGGTGAGCTGCAGAGAAGGCCACGCCCCTGCGCACGTGGCTTTGCCAGCTCACATCAGCTTTGACGGATGTAAAGTCCACCCACTCTAAAGTGGGACATGTGTTTGCTGAGCTAGGGGAAGAAACTGAGTAGGCAGGCTGGGATCCCTCAAGTAAGGGGACTTTCTTCTTCTGGAAACCTGGACACATCTTGTGCCCCTCCCCGGGTCCCCAGGACTCAGCTCTGGTCCCACCCTCAACACACAAGTTCCTACACAAGCTTCTGGGCTCTGTCAGCTGCAATCTAGAAATGCCTGTAGTGTATATGGGGACGAGCAAGAGGCCAGCCCTGAAGAGGGGAGGCCCTTGGTGTCTGCAGAGCAATGCACTCTATTCTGGAGCCTTGACCCCCAGGCGTTCACCTGTAGGTAAAAGCTGCTACCAACACACACCACCTGAGCAAGGGGTCTTCAAATCAAGCCCACAGCTGTCTTTTCTCTATGGTGTGTAGACTCGGGGCAGAGGTTTGTGTGTGAGTAGGGGCAGCCCCTGGGTACACATACCCACAGCTGTCTTTTCTCTGTGGTAGGTAGACTTGGGGCAGAAGTTTCTGTGTGGGTAGGTGCAGCCCCTGGGTACACATACCACCAGCCACCCTCCATAACCACAACCTGGCATGCAGAAAGGAAGCACCTCCCCCTCTGCCCTTGGTGGACAAGTCAGGGCGGAACCCACAAGTCAGGTCCAAACTCTTCCCCCCTGGCAGTGGGCCTGGGTCCCTCCCCCTCACCAGGTGCCGCCTGGAAGCTGAGCTGGATGGGGTGTCTCCAGGCTCTACAGCAACTAGGCTAGACCCAGGAAGAGATGTGTCTGCAGGGAGGGTAACCATGTAAATGGGATGGACAGGGCCTGCCGGGGACTAGCTGCTTGTCTAGGCGCCATAGCTGCACTGAGCCTCATGTTATCACCCACCCCTGAGCCTCCAGGCCCACACAGACAAGTGCCCACTGGTCCTATTCAGCAGCTTGAAGGAAGACTGGTAAAGGTCCTTGGGATCCATGGATGGTGCCCCAGTACCACAAGTCCCCGCCACACACAGGAGAGAATGGCCGTGTGCCCACAAGTAACATTCCCCACCCAGTGCTAACCACACTCTTCTGATGCAAGACAGTGGCAGCTGCCCAGAACCATGCTCCTCCCTAAATGGGGTGCATTTACTGCTCTTGGGGGTGGCCTCCAAGGTTGTCCCAACATAGGAAGCAGCAAAAGATGAAAGAAGGAAAGATGAGGCAAAGAAAGAAAAGACAGCCAGATTTCCTGGTGAAGCAGGGGCTGAAACTAAGACTCTCTCCAGTACCAGTCTTGTGATCAGCACCCCGGTGGGAATGTGGCCTGCATGCTAAATGGTATCACCCACACACACACACACTGGCCTATGCTGCGGCGTTTACTATGGCACTGCCCACACCCCAGAGGGCCACTGATTGGTGTTAGGACTCTCACCTCCACCGCTGGCTGTCTGTGAAGAGTTTACCCAACAGCAGCCAGGCCGTGCCCAGGCCACTTGTGAGAGCTACTCTGTCATCTCAGAGGATGACAGCATTCCTGTGTCTCTTGTCTCGTTGGAACCCAGGCAGGATCTGGCTTGCTTAAAAGGTACAGAAGAGGTGAGGCCTGGGTGACACAGGGGGACGCATAGGTACTGGGGCAGGGAAGTGGAGCAGCCTGCCAGGTGCACTGTCTAGAGACTTTAGAAGAATAAAATCAAGGCACTAGTTATTCTGCATTTCATTACCCCAGGAATGCAGGCCATTCAAAACAGTGTCAGCAGTAAAATACTACTCCCACCAGACAGGGAGCTCTCACTGCCCACACCCTTGGTACAGGGTACCCTTCATGCCAGCACTGGTGTGGGGGAGGATCCCCTTGATTCATCTTGCTTTAAGGGGGATAAATGTGGATGCTAGCTAAAGCTTCTTCTAAGAAGGACTCTAAAAAAATGAGAATATGTAAATAGAACAAGACCACAGGGTTCATCCAGCCCAGGCTGGGTGTAGAAAATGAAGCCTGAAATGGGCATGTGACATGCCCAGGGCCCTGCAGCCAGAGTCTGAGCTTGCCTTCTGACACCTTTCCCAGGACAGCTCCAGCTGCTCACTTGTGACATTTCAGTGTCAGAGCTGGACTGCCCTTCAGATGGCAGAAGCACGACAGTACAATCTCAGGGAGGCTCCCTCAGTAGGGCTGGCTGCAGAACCAAGCCTTTTCATTGGTCCTCCAGCTCCAAAGCATCAGCAAACAGAATCCTGATATAAGAAATGTTTCTGCTTGTCAGGAAATCTACTCTGCTCAATTCAACAGAACCTGAACCGTGGACCTCCCCCAATAACGACAAAATGGAATTTATGAAGCCTTTTCAACATGCCAAGCAACCCAGTCAAGTCTGACTCACTCTCATCATCTAACAACTAACAACATAATCTAATCTGGGCAGCAAGTTCTGCATTGCTGTTTCCAAGATGCCCGGATTCAAAAGGCAGCTCAGCATCACAGGAGCAGCTGAGGAGAGGTTTGAATCCTGGCTCTGCTCTCTACAAAGCTTCTTCATTTGCAAAATGGGGCTAATGATAATTCTCTGATCCCTTGTGCCAATCTCAGACTCACAGACGCCCATGGCTGCTACAGTGGAGAAGTGAACTCCATCGGGCTTTCTTGGCTATAATCTTGATGGAAATGGATCACCACGCCTTCTTTTCTATGGTGCTGCTGGTGTGGGTTCAAACCACCACGCTACCAGTGGGTAGCAGAGTGCAAACTGTGTCACCCAGGGACTTTCCAGATCTGTTAACACAATGTCAATGAGTTGATTCTGACTCACGGTGACCCAAAGACAGAGGAGAACTGCCCTAATAAAGACATGGACTGCCACGTCTCTCTTCTTTGGAGCAGCTGGTGGGTTGAACCTCCAGCCTTTCGGTTAGCAGCTGAGCACTTAACCACTGTACCACTGGGGCTCTGTCCCAAATCTGTTCCAGGCTTACTGTTAACTAAAGGTCTGCACATTGCTGGGCACATCATAAGCGTCCAGCACACTACAGTCCCCAGGAAGCAGTGATGCACACGGACACACAAAACGTTGGTGGAAAGATGGAATGGAGAGATAATGGTTTCTACATACCCTTCTACACTGAGGTGCACTCACTAACTACGTGGTGACTTTACCTGTTAGGAAGTTGTAATCATAGCCCATTATTCCTTCTAAATGCAACCTGGAAAAATCCAGGAGCCAAATTACTGGAACGAAAGGGAGGGTGGGGAGGGGTTGCTGAGCCAGGAAGGTGGAAAGCACTGTGTACAGACCAAGGGCTGCATCACAAAGCTCTAGCTTTGGCAGGACTTTGAATCCTTTTGATTCAGTATGTCAGAGGTTCAAATCCTCAACAGGGGAGTGAAGCCATTTGAAGCCCTAAAGTTTTAGTGGGGAAGGCAGAAAATATGCTATTATGCCAGGTGCTAAGTTTTGTAAAGAAAATGAACAACCAGGAAGGGATGAAGAGGCAGGCAAGCAGCTATTTAATATTTTAAAATGGGATCAAGGAGGACCTGAGAGGTGGCAACCTGGAATGATTGGAATGGAAGACTGAGTCAGTCTGTTTTAAGCCCAGGACCATTCCAGACACAAGCAAGCAAATACAAAGGCCCTGAGGCAAACCTGGCCTTACTTAGCCAGGGGGTCAGTATGGCTGGAGAGGGGCAAGAGGGCAGGAGGAGATGGGCTGGCATAGTGGAGGCTGAGATCACCAGGATCTCAGAAATAGCATCAGGCTCTGGACTGTCTTCTAAGTATGTTGGGACACCTTGGGAGAGTGACAATTTCCAAAGGGACACTTTGGCTGCAATGAGAGAATGGAAGGACACAGAAACATCAGTTACAATTCCGCCCCACAGAGAAGCAGAGACGCCGGTGGTGTGCAACACAGG